CAGCGGGGTGCCTGGCCTCCGCGGCGCGGGTCAGGCCGGTCCTCCCGGGGAAACACCGGTGTCGCTGCTCTCTGTTTAACCCTGGTGCTGAATTACCTTGCCGCTGCGCTGGCGTTGCTGCTCAGGGACCCGCCGTTCCGGGTGTGACTCCGACCTCGTCTCCTGCTGCAATCTGACCGAGACTTGTGGTCCGCGTTTCCCGCAGGATTCGGTATTCCCATCCCTCTCCTCCACCAGGCTGAGCTGGAGCCCTTCCGCACTGCACTTCCCAGCCCGGCACCTTAATGGAAACAGAAGTTGATGGTGGGCCGAGGTGACGTATGGCTGAGGAGCGGGCATCCCTTTTTGCTTTGCCACAGCTGCGAGGATGGTAACCTTCAGCAGGCCTTGTAGCTGGGATTTTGATTTTCTTTCCTCAAATAACCGGTTTTCTTGAGCTAGACCCTAAAGCGAGGTCTTTCAGGGCTCTAGCATTTACGGTGTGTAATGCTTTAACATGACTATTAAGTGTAGTCCGACGAACTTCTGTTAGGAAAAAGCATGCGTAACTCTAGAATGACTAGAGGTTATTCTTGAGTTACTAGAATCTGAAAAAGAATTGATCACAATGGTTAATACTTCAAGCTAAAAATTTCAGTCAGAACAATGTAAATCGTATTACATATTTTAAGCAACGTGCATGCTGTATTTGGCTTATGCTTTGTAACAGTTGCCACATTTATGAAACCTATGACAGAATGAAATCCAAACGTTTCTTTTAAAGGAGTATGTTTATCTTGTATTGTGCCTGTTTTGCAGATATTTGTGGGGTTAAAAGATTTGAACTGCAGGTGAATAAAACTAGGGCCGAAAATTGAAGGATGGCAGCAAATCCTTCAGGACAAGGTAGGTTTTAATCTAAGTGTTCAAGGGGAAAGACTATGTGCAAAATGTCAGTGAAGTCACCAGAACTGTAAGTTGATTTTATAGAAAGAGAAGTGGAAAAGAGGCAGCAGAATGTGAGCAAACCTTCTGTGTGAAGGCACACGTTAAATGGTTGAAAAAGACCACTGATGGCTGGGGAGCTCCGAATTACTGTGCATTCCTTCATGCTCAGGTGATGAAGTAGCTGTCATGCCTGTGGTGCTGCAGTTACTTCCTGAAGCACATTTCAGACACTTAAAACGCTTAGCGTTGAACATGACGTGCAGCTCCTGTGCTTAATGTCAGGGAATAGCCAGCAGTTGTGATGGGAGCAGCAAGACCCAGGCAGTAATAGCTGTCAAGGATAGACAGCAAGTGGCCAGGCCTAGGAGGAGAAGAGGACAGATAAAATCATAATGCTAACTCCAATGAAATGTTTCTTTGCATGATGACACATCTGAATTACATCTGTAAAATTGTTCAAGATGTGGAAATGGTCTGTCTACTGAGCTGAGGGTGTGGGGGAGCTCACACGGCAGATTGAAGGAGGGTCTTAAATCGCCCTCTAGAGGTGCTTTCTGGAAATCTTAATGGAACTCGGGCTTGTCCCTTCTATGGAAGAGCTAAGGAGAAAGTTCTCGGGTACGGCTTTTCACTTACTGGTTATAAGAAATGAATTCAGAATTCAGTTTCCCAGCAATCTGAGACTTTCTCATGGGTGTTTGTGTCTGAGTGTCCTTATTTGGGAAAGCAGTCCCACAAAGCTGGGTGTAATTAATTCTGAAGTGCTGATACTTTCAAGGGGTGCCAAATCACTTGTGTGGTTTCCTCCCTGCCTCTGCTTTCAAAACACATAAAGAAGAAATGTGTTGGTTCAAAAAACAGATTTTTACTTCCTACTTGATGAAAATAAGGTAGTTTTTATAATGCTTATTGAGTTTTTTTTAAAATGTTGAGAGAGGAGTGCTGCAGATTGCAGATAGTTGTCTGCAAATTTCAACTCTGAGAAGTTGGTAGGCAATGGTAAATCTTGCTTTATTCTGTGAATACCAAGTCAGCATCACTTTGAGAAATAGAATGTTGTCATAGAGAGGTAGGATGGGATTTTTGTGCCAGAATGCCTTTGCTTCCCTCCAAATTTAGAAGCTTATAATTTAATGGAGCCTTGGAATCTGCATTTATACTTCGAGATACCCTTTAGAGACTCACTAATTTTAATTATCATATGAAAATTATTTCCACTAAGAGGAAAGAAACGCTATCAGGTTTAATCACCAAAATGAGCCTATAAATAATACACCTAGGAAAATTAGAAAGGAACAGGTAAATGTGAGCAACAGTTCAAGGCCTGATGCAGTCTGGTAGCGGGAATGATTGAGACAAATGCTTGCTGCATGGCACACGTATTGGTGCCATGCAAGCAATTCATTCTCTCATTTCCCTCCTCTTGAAGAAAAGGAAGAGGGATTTACTGAAACACTCACTGAAAGGGTTGTGACCAGTAGTACTTACTCAGAACTGTAAGGATGAATTAAACATTAGCCTTCTACACAGGTAGATTCTGTTTGTAATTTTTTTGTACCGAGTTATTTCTTTCCCTTTAATCAGTACCGAGTATTTTCCTAGGCCTTCACTGAGTTTTCTATTAATTGCAGACCCAGACTACAGAGGGTAAGATTTACTGGACTGGACTTTCTTTAATTCATTGGACTCTCAGGAAAGCACTCTTTTGATTAGAGTTTCAAAGATGAGGGAGCTGTGTATGAGTGCAGCAAAACCAAATAGAATTGAACAAAAGCCTTCAGGCTGTTAGTACCACATGGAACTGATTGCATGAGACTGATTACAGCATTTAAAAGAAATGGAAAAGTTTTTAACATGCTGTGTATTGTCCATAAGATGAGCTCATAGACCAGAGTGGTATGTTTGAGGGGGAGAAATCAGCTTCTAAATTACAGGAATTACTTTCAGGTGCTTGGTAATACACTGCTTCTGCAGCAATACTTCACAGTACTTACACAAAATGCATTAATAAGGCTGCTCTTGTAATGCTTGTGCACAGCAAGGCCAGAGCATACATTGCGTGTTACTAAATTAAATGTGTGAGTTCTCTGAGAGGAAGCCTTCTGAAATGAGAGAAAGATAATTTCTCAGGAAGGAACTCTCCTTTAGGTCTGCGCAGGTGGAAGAAATACAGGTCCTGCTTCAAACAGAGCTGAACTTTTCAGAAGAATTCTGGTACTTTGGGAGAACGAAGCTCTTGAAATATGTACAGAATTTTAAGCTTCAGGCTGTAGCAATTCTACCATGTCTTTTTCTGTCCTGGTGGTTGTTTATCCTTTTGGCCTAAAGGTATGTGGGGACGTTCATGTAACACAGTCTAAGCAGCTAGTTAGCATTCTGTTCACTGACTCTGTATTAAAGAAGAAGATTGTGTTGTTTGGCGCTGAATTATGTCATCATCTACAGACTTTGCTGCTCTGCATCTGAGTCTGATCAGTGTGCAAGCGTAGTATAGAATCATGGAATGGTTTGGGTTAGAAGGGACCTTAAAGATCATCCAGTTCCACCCCCCCTGCCATGGGCAAGGACACCTTCCACCAGACCAGGTTGCTCAAAGCCCCATACAACCTGGCCTAGAACATTTCCAGGAATGAAGCATCCACAACTTCTCTGGGCAGCCTGTTCCAGTGCCTCACCACCCGCAGAGTGAAGAATTTCTTCCTAATATCTAATCTAAATCTACCTCCTTTCAATTTAAAGCTGTTACCCCTTGCCGTATCGCTACGTGCCCTCTTCTATCACTAAGTCCCATCTCCAGCTTTCTTGTAGACCCCCTTCAGGTACTGGAAGGCTGCTATAACGTCTCCGCAGAGCCTTCTCTTCTCCAGGCTGAACAACCCTGACTGTTTCAGCCTGTCTTTGTAGCAGGGGTGCTCCAGCCCTCTGATCATCTTCATGGCCCTCCTCTGGACTCACTCCAACAGATCTATGTCTTTGTTAGGTTGGGGGCCCCAGAGCTGGATGCGGTATTCCAGGTGGGGTCTCCCCAGAGCAGAGCAGAGTAGAGGGGCAGAATCCCCTCCCTCAGCCCACTGGCCACACTTCTTTTGATGCAGCCCAGAATGCAGTTGGCTTTCTGGGCTGTGAGTGCCCAGAGTCTGTGAGGCTGTGAGTCATGCTGAGCTCCTCATCAACCAACACCGCTGAGTCCTTCTCAGGGCTGCTCTCAGTCCATTCTCTGCCCAGCCTGTGTTTGTGCTTGGGATTGCCCTGACCCAGGTGCAGGACCTTGCACTTGGCCTTGTTGAACTTCATGAGGTTTGCATGGGCCCATGTCTCAAGCCTGTCAAGGTCCGTCTGGATGGCATCCCTTCCCTCCAGTGTGTTGGCCACACCACAGGCTTGGTGTAATCAGCAAACTTGCTGAGGGTGCACTCGATCCCACTGTCCATGTCACCAACAAAGACGTTAAACAGCACTGGATCCCAATACCAAAACCTGAGGAATGCCACTCATCACTGGTCTCCACTTGGAGATCGAGCTGTTGGCTGCAACTCTTTGAATGTGACCATCCAGCCAATTCCTTATCCGCTGAGCGGTCCATCCATCAAATCCACGTCTCCAATTTAGAGACAAGGATGTTATGCAGAACAGTGTCAAATGCTTTGCACAAGTCCAGGTAGATTACATCAGTTGCTCTTCTGTTATTTGCCAGCACTGTAGCCCTGTTCTAGAAGGCCACGAAATTTGTCAGGCACAATTTGTCCTCAATGAAGCCATGTTGGCTGTCACCAATCACCTCTCTGTTTTCCATGTACCTTAGCAGTTTTTAGGAAGATCTGCTCCATGATATTGCTGGGCACAGAGGTGAGACTGACCAGCCTGTAGTTTCCTGGGTCTTACTTTTTCCCTTTTTTAAAAATGGGGGTAATGTTTCCCCTTTTCCAGTCAGTGGGAACTTCACCAGACTGCCATGACTTCTCAAGTATGATGGATAATGACGTAGCAACTTCATCTGCCAGTTCCCTCAGGACCCATGGATGAATCTCATCAGGTGCCGTGGACTTGGGCACCTTCAGGTTCCTTAGATGGTCTTGAACCTGATCTTTTCCTACAGTGGTCAGTTCTTCGTTCTCCCAGTCCCTGACTTTGCCTTCTGCAGCTTGGGTGGTTTGGCTTGAGTACTTGCTGATGAAGAGTGAGGCAAAAAAAGTCACTGAGTACCTCAACCTTCTCCATATCCCGGGTAACCAGGTCTCCTGTTTCCTTCTGAAGAGGGCCCACATTTTCCTTAGTTTTCCTTTTATCACTGACATACCTATAGAAGCTTTTCTTCTTGCCCTTGATGTCCCTGGCCAGATTAATTCTACCAGGGCTTTAGCTTTCCTAACTTGATCCCTGGCCACTCAGACAATTTTTCTGTATTCTTCCCAGGCTACCTGTCCTTGCTTCCATCCTCCGTAGGCTTTCTTTTTGTGTTTGAGTTTGTCCAAGAGCTTCTTGTTCATCCTTCCAGGCCTGCTGGTGGTTTTGCCTGACGTGCTCTTTGTTGGGATACAAAACCAGCTTGCTCCTGAGCTTGGAGGAGGTGATCCTTGAATATTAACCAGCTTTCTTGGGCCCCTCTTCCCTCCAGGACTTTATCCCATGGTACTATACCAAGCAGATCCTGAAGAGGCCAACGTCCTGGGTTGTGAGCTTGCTGTGCATGCTTCTCTGTGCCCTGAGGATCTTGAACTCTACCATTTCATGGTCACTGCAGCCAAGGCTGCCCTTGAGGTTCACATTCCCCACCAGACCCTCCTTGTTGGTGAGAACAAGGTCCAGTGTAGCATCTCTCCTTGTTGGCTCCTCTGTCACTTGGAGAAGGAAGTTATCATCAACACATTCCAGGAACCTCCTGAATGGCTTTATGCCCTGATGTGTTCTCTCCAACAGATATCAGGGTGGTTGAAGTCCCCCATGAGGACCAGGGCTCA